AATTATACATTCAATTATTAGAAAGTAAAAAGAGATCAATATTATTTCTGAGAAAAGTATGACGTCGCGTTAATTTGATTAAGAAATGTCAGATAAAATGCTAACAGGCTACTTTTTAAATAATAACAAGTACAGTCGATGCTATAAATAATTATTCATCTCGAATAAAGCACAGAGTAACAATCCATACAGTACAGAGCCATTTTTCACTACAGCAGAAGTCAAGTGCAGAATTGACTGTCGCGAGATAATGAAAAATCGGCAATAGTTTTTATCGTCGATTTGTTCCATCTTTGAATCCGTGCGATAAATCGGTATGAATCTGCAAAATTATTTTGCTTGGTTTTTACCTCTTCGTTAAAAAAAAAAAAAAAAAAAAACGAAACTGTTTACGTCGAACCGTATAGAAAGTTTTCAGACAATTTCCATGGCGTCGTCACGGCGTAGTCTATGCCGAGCAAAGTAAAGCAACGTCGGGACACGATGGCGTCGCGATGCTTATACCTATAAAACGGTCTGGCGTTCTGATAATGTTACTCGGCCGATCAGACTACGTCCGGTATATTCTTCCGCATCGGTGATAATGATCGATCGACAACATGGAGACGCGGCCTAATGAGATCGACACTCCAGGAAATTGCTTCTCTTTGAAGAGGCGTCGTTCGTCATTTGCAATAGGTTTACGAGAAAAGATCGAAATTTGACACATGACACTATTAATGGATTACGCGTCATAATAGTCTATAGACCATAATAGATAACGGACCATGCCTGACCTACATAACAATGACTATACACACGACTATCGTGTGGCAAATAATAATTTATAAAAAATATAATTATTCAATAAAATCATACGGGACGTCGTAAGAAATTTATTGACCGACGATCCAACATATTTAAATTTCGAAAATATTAAAAATTCCTCAAAAAATTAATATTGTCTATCTACTCGCTTAACGATTCAAGAAAAGTTATACGAGCTGATATAGATATATTCGATAAGTGTTCGACGCAATTGAACATATTGAGCCATTGGGATATCAAAGGGAGAGTAAAGTCGACAACTACCAATGTGTACCAATACTTTTCACATGTGAGTAGTAAGGTAATATATATTGCAAGTACTAGAGAGAGGGATAGAGAGTGAGAGTCTGAGGGTATACGTGGTTGCTTCTACGTCATCGAAGAGGTATGGCCTACAAAAATAGAGATTTCCAATAACCGATAGCCCTCTCGTTCCCCCTTACTGGATAGGACACAGAAACAATGCAGTGTGAGTGAGAAGAGAGGAACCACGAGAGAGTGACGGAGAGATCTAGAGATAGTGAGTATGTGCTACCCACTATCAACCACGCTATTCCCTATTTTCTGTATAAATAATCATACAACTACCAATCCTATGAAATATGCTGGTGCGAGAGAGAACTTAACAAAAGGATGAGAGATTCTCTCTTTTTTTTATTACCACGTGGAACCACGTATTTAAGGTCCTTTCCTCTCTGTCCAAACAAACCACGAATTGAATTTTTTCTCTCTTTCTGTCTGTCAATTCTTTGTCGAACTGTGCGATTGGATCTGTTTCTGTCTCTCTCTTTCTCTCTTCCGTTATATCTTTGTTGGTTCCCTCTGTGTATCGCTTATATGCAATACTGACACTTTCTCCCTCCCTTTTTCTCTTTGGTCCTTTGGTCCATTCACAAACCGTTGATTGGATTGACACCAATACAGAGGTGAGAATTGAGATGAATGGACGGTCTGGGTTATCGTGGAGGAGGACGGGATATTTAAGAAAGAGAAAATTAGATACTTACGGAATTGGTAATTACAGAGGGGAGGATATAAATAATTATTTTTGTTAGCGAAAGGAATTGTTATAGGATTTTGGTGTCTAGTAGGCCAGGACTTCAGCAGGTGGGTTGTAAAGTCTAGCGATTAGTGTCCTGTCAATTTAACAGGAACTCATGGTACAATAGTATGTTATCATAGGGATTCGCAATGGGTAATGTACGCCGCTTTGCGTAATATTGGCCATGGACAACGATAGTGCTGTAATACGTATACAGGAATTCAGTCCGTGCTTATAGAGCGTTCAATTTTGGAATCAAGGTCGATTATTTGAGAAAATTAAAATTTAGTCAAAAAAGATAAAAAATATAAATTATACAATGTACAATATCTATCTGCGACTGATAATAATTTTTCACAAAATTCCTAACAACCTTCCAGATTTTAATGAAAAATTTTCACGCTGTAGCCACATTTTTTTTTAAAATAAAAATCGCTCAAATTTATTCAAAAAAGTTTACAACATTTTCCACAATTTGATCGATCCATCTAATAATAATATTCGCCGTATTGCCTGTCGGGTGAATCTCCCAGTAGGCATTCTACAGTTGCATGTATGTGGTTGGTACCCACATACAATGTATACGTATGTCACATACGTATCACTATTCGAGTATGGATTGGAGGTCAATGCACGTTAATTGGTTGAATGTCAAGGTCAAACCTCTCTCCCGTGTCATAGTATTATCATCGATTATTGGGCGTATCTCGTGGCTATTGCGTAACACCACAGATACCAATGGCAATGACGGCTGACGGACAAGCTTAAGACATTTACAGGACATCATCCAGCATCCAAATACCAATCGGAGTATCAATCACTCCTAAAATCATCGAAAGTGTTGTTAGCTAGACGTCATTGTCAGCGATTAAAATCGTGATCGATTACGTAAACAAGCCATACGGGTTATCAGGCCGATGATATCAATGAATCCCGACAGTAGCGCCACGGCGGTAAACAAGAGAGATATGGGTCAGTGAAGTGAAATAAAGAAGATTGAAAGGGAAGAAAGTAATCGATAAATAAAAAAGAGGAGTTTACTGATAGATAGGAGGGGGTAGTTGAATGAGGGGTGAGGAGGGGTGTGGAGGGGAGTTCACGGTTTACGAGCGAGGGGGCGCCAGTGTGCTCACGTGGGCGTCAAGGGGTGGAGTGGAGAATCGAATTCGCCATGGGCGATCGAAGCGGCGTGCGTCGCGTCGCATCGTTGAAAATGAAAGTAGATGACATTGCGATACGGGCAGACGAACAATAACCAATCATGTACAATTAACCTGTGACACCGTGACACCTAAATACTCGAGTAGCTACATAGCGGTTATGTTCCCATTATGTGGCCGTATCGACATGTGTTTCGTGCACCAGGCCACCGCTATATACTGTATACATAGCACGACATATATTCGCGCATTCTCTATATGACTACATAACTCCCCTATATGGAAATATATATATATATATGTATATAGTTAGATATGGTACATAGTCAAATACCTTCATACATAGTTTGATACACGATTACCTGATAGGCCTATCGAATTCATCGTTTCCATGCTATTACTATATAACTCGATTTAATAGTTTGATATCAATTGATACCTATACGCGATGTTATCAATTGTTGAGCAATGTGGGACGATTAAATAATTTCTTTCGGTTTTGTACCTATAGATATATTTTTGAAAAGGGTTATCGATGATTTAGAAACAGTGACAACTATTTGGGCACGTTTTACGAATTTTCATGGGACAATCTAATGTGGGATACCTGTTCCAGGTTAAAGGTCGGGTCAGGACCCTGGAACCCCATAACAACCTGCTGGCTGACCCCGCCTATTTTCTAGTCACGCTTAGGGGATGTTTTCCCTGTCCCCCTCTCTACTTGTGATGCTCGACGTAGGGGTGGCTGCAGATTCTGCAGGAACCGGTCTCTTTGCTGGGGGTCCATCTGTGCAGGATGCTGGATCCTTGATTCTGCACTTAGGAAATCTAAGGATATCTTTGCTAGCTTTATTCATTAAGGCGCGTTCTCACGAAGGGGTTGCAGGCTTTTTCTGCTTCTTGTCTGCTGATAATGTGCTTGGATTTGTTAAATCGAGATGTTCTCACGAAGGGGTGGTACTTCTGGGGTATCTTGCAGCATCCAACGATCACTTTGACATCGTCAGGTCAATATTCCAAGTTTAGCTTTATTCATTAAGAAGATTCTCTCACGAAAAGTGGTCCTTGGAGTTTTACCGTCTCCTTTTTTTTCGATCTTTTTCAAGCCTTCCCTTTCATAAATAATATTTTGCCAAGGGGCGAATAGAGATACCGTTACATATAATATCTGCTGCATGACAACTTTAGCTTTATTCATTAACTAGAATCACGAGAAAGGGTTTAAGATACAGCTGCATTCATTAGCTTGATATCCTTGGGAACATCCAATCCTTAAAAAAGGTCATTAATATTCAGATCACAGTAATTAATTACGGCATATCAATTATGTAGTATAAACAATCAATTTATATATTAACAGTAAAAATAAGAGGGTTTAGTAAATACTGTCAATAATGAATAAATAATCTAATCTTTATTTAGAGCTAAAATTATAGAAACAGTTTATCAAGCATTTATTTTTCATATAAAAATAATATTATGACACGCATCTCATTTCCACAATATCGGATGTGTCTGCTTTTCAAGATGAAAAGTAGTAATATGAGATTCTAGCTAATGTATATATGTATATATAAATACACATATGAGACTATAGAATACGTGAAATTCCTTAAAAAGTTCTAAAAAATCCTCATGTGACGCTAAATGATCCTGCAGGATTCTGCAGGATTCTGCAGGATCCTGCAGAACCGTGCAGGAGGTCTGCAGAGCCGGTAGCGAAGGGCTGGGCCTTATGCTTGAAAGGACGAAGGGTGGGGATTGAGCTCATGCTCAATTCGTAGGTTTGCTGGGGGTCCAACAATGGCAGCAGCAGCTACACTATAGAATAGAAGCTGCTTTTTCGTCCAATCTGCTATTCGGCTAGCTCTATGCAAATCGTCGAAAAACGGGTAGAACCGGCGATCTACTACTGGTCATCCAGTTTGAGGCTGCAGGAGTTCGGTACGTCGAAGAGTTTAGTTTACGCGTCGTTTTCACGCGAACGACACACGGTCGCTGTTTGGTCTGTTGTACGTTAAATTTTTTCTATGTAAGATTGTACGTTTTGAAAATTCACATTATCATTGTGTCCGCTGATCGTGACTGAAGACTGAAAAATAGTACTGAGGCGACATCATGAGAAAAGCAAATGTGGTTCTACGAGTTGAAGACGGAAGCTGAGGTCACGAGGTGCGTCAAGAGCAAGTTGAAGACAGAGTGCCGGAGCGTGACAGGTGGCGCCTTCTAAAAAGGAAGGCAGTCCGAAAAATGGCGTGAAGTGAGTATGCGTGGGCGCAGAATCGATGAAGGTCGCAAAATGGCGGAGCATGGACCAAGAACGAGATACAGAGATACGGAGAAAGATGGTAGGAGGAAGAGAGAGTATCGGAGGGGATGAAGGGATGGTAAAAAAAAGTTAAACAGCGTGAGAGATAAGTTGATAAATGAAAAGAGAGAGAAGGATAAAAAATGGATAAAAGGTGATAGGTCAAAAATCAAGAAACTTTAATTGACTTTCTGGGTCAACGATAATGCACGATAATGCAACGATAATTATAAAAATATCAGGTATCTACCTAACGCATCATTTCTATGTTCACTGGTGTATTCTGGGTTAACCTCAATTTTGCAAGATCAAGCGTAAAGGTCAATATCGTAGACTGAAGAGTCAGCTTTGATTTTCCAGCGAATGATCCTTTTTCATCGTACAAGCCGTAATCCTCTCGATATTCTAGAACCCTTCAGGAAAGTTCTAACCAAACCCTCGACGGAATCTCGAGACGCGTAATTCACTGGTGGTAAAATGCCCCACCCTTTTGAGTCCAAATCCCATACCTACTTTCGGTAGATTTTCCTCTGGGTTTTTGGCGAGTGGGATTCATTAAGGCACACACGGCCGAACCACTCACACGAGTTTTAACTCTGTCTATACTATTCGCATAATTCACACGATTCACTGGACTCTTATATACGCGCACTGCGCATCGGAGCCATAGGTGTCGCATGAGGAACACACATACGCCTGGTACGGGCCACTCCACGAGAAAGTGTAATCGACAAAGTTTATCGGCTGCTCAGGAATGGCTCGTCTACGTGGCATTCTGTCTATCCCATGTGCATGTCTGACTCTACGTGTCCCTGACTACTTTTGTTCCTAGGTAAACTCCAACCAGTAGCTACAATGCAGAGGGTGTAGGTCGCTGTGCTTGTGGTAAAAAAGGCGCTTTTTCTCATTTTTCAAGAGAGTGCGAGAGTCAGAGCATATGATAGAGAGAACGAACGAGTGAGAGAGAGTGAGGGGTGGTAAAAGAGTGTGATAGAGGGTGCAGGTGGACAGATCGTAAAATAGAAACAGTACGCCCGAGAGACTGACCGAACGAAACTCCATAGAAATGAGTTAATTAGATATTGAATTAATGCTCCTAGGAGATGCCTTCGGTTGACACAAACCTCCGCCAGGAGGCAGCCCTTTACCCTCTTGTTATTTTTTTTATCTAGGGTGGAATAACCGGAATATCAAAACGTCCAGCGACGTCTCATCAGTTATCCAGGAGACATTTCCATTAGCGAAGTCAGTTACTTGGATCCCGTGTACGACAGAGTACGTAGATACAAAATGGCTGAACTTTAGAAGGTATACCAACGTCGACTAAGTTTCGTTTTGCATATTAAAAAAAATGTAAAATAATTTTAATATATAGAAAACGGTGGTTCGCTCGAGTTCAGATATAGTCAATGGAGCATCCCTTAAAAGTTGTAGGTATGAAATGGCGACGCTTGGGTAACTTCGTAGAGTCGCAGGGACTTTCGTAATGGCGAAGTTTACTTTGCCCATTTGTATAGGGGAGACGCTACCAGCCAACTTAGCCCCAGGGCCAGTAGGAGTATGACTGAAGCAGACTAGAGCAAAACGTAAAAGGATACCGTAGGGGTATAGTTTTCGTGGCCGAGGGTACCTAACGTAGGTACTACCTGGGATAGGTTCAGGTACCTTCCTACATACCTCTATAATAATTCATGATATAATGGCGAAATTACGTAGGCAGGCATCCACGAACTCAGCCGGCCAGGGACGTACGTAGACGCAGGTATATAGTGGCCCTTTCGCGGGGAAAGTTTTCCTGGCGAGTTACGGTGCTCGCGCGACGTCGATAAATTAGCTTACATTTTTATAATGCGCTCCCTCCCCGCGCCACTACAGGAGAGTCAGGAGAGTCCGGTGCCAGTACGCGAAGGCGGAGCCGAGAGCCTCATCTCCGTGGGTCAAATTAATTCTGGTATTAAAATTTGGCTTGCAAATATCTCGACCTGCGGCGGCTAACCACTACTGGCGCACGTGCGTTGCCCCGCTGTACACAGTACACCACGTATATACGTAATTTACATCTGTTATTACGAGATACCATGAGCCGGTGAGTCTGTGAGTCTCGTGAGCACGAGGCATAGCTCGGCCATACTCGCTCTATTCGCTCAACTCGCTCTATTCGCTCCATGGACGCTTTACTCGCGTACGCAGCCATAGGGCGTTTCGATTCTCTGCCATACTTCCCCCCCCCCGCCCCTGTAGAACCCCCTTTATCACTCATGGCCCCTAGGGACTTTTTGTGTAAATTAATTTTTTCTACCCCCTCCACCTTTTCTTACCTTTCGTTAATCACCTTTTTTGTTTCTTTACTCGTCTCCCTTGGTACTGGTGATGATGGATGCTGCGTGGAGAAAGTTTTGACGATAACAATTATATAACCTGATAGTACCCCGGTATCTGATATTCCTACTATTGTTTTATATATATATATATGGTGACTTTGTTATTCTCGCGCTTGTATACCTACAGTTCGCTTTTATTGACGATACTCACGGTAATTTACCCATAAAGCACTGCTATGGCGGACGGCAATGGTCTAGGAAACGTAAGAAGAATATATTCCCGTGCATCGTGATAAACGCGTGTCCACAGTCCAACTGGAATTGCTTGATCGTTTGTAAACTGTACGCGATTCATTATATACATCGAGTATTTAGCTCATATATTTAACGTATGTTATATGCATGCGTAATTGACTGGTACGTGACACTTTTTTTTTTCTACCCTCATTTTACTCTTACAAGTCTACAGTTCGTGGATATTTATAAAGATAAATGATTGGCCTTTTTCTTCACATTGCTCACACGTAGCAGTTGATTTTCAAATAGGTCAAAAGTATCGAACGAGGTCAAAGAGCGAAAATGCGAGTGGTCAAGTGCATGACAATGAATTCAGGGTGTCATGGTGGGTGGAGCAGAAGGGCGATATGGTTAGGTAATCGTGATTAAGAATCCGTGATTCAAAATAAATTTGAAGACAAAGTTTTTTTTAATTTTCCCCCTGCCTCTTTACTTCAGCCGACACCTTTGTACCACTAAAGACCTTGGAACTTTTTTCCATCTGTTCGGTGAAAGGGTGATCACCCGGTACTGCTTCTGGCTCCTGATCAAAACTCCAAACCTTGAATCTGCGGCTGATGAAAGCTCCTTGTAATTGGACATAATGATCGCGCAGGTCCGGCATCGGTGTCGGGGTCTGTTTTAAATGAGAATCCGTTTCGCCGAGTGTTCAGAGTGTTGCAAATTCGATTGTACGTGCGTATCAACCCTGAATCCCATTCGTCGAGGGTCCCGTGAGATTTTAGAGGAGTCCAAAAGAAGCTAGAATTTCGCTTTGAGCCCTTGCCGCTTCTTGTCGATTTCCCCATGACGAAACCCCATTAATAAAACAGGGGTTAGAGGCTCGGTTAATTTCTCGCTCGGTGCACCTGAGCTTTTACGCAGACAAGAAAACGCACGTGGCGTTAGAATACCCGTAGGAGAAACTTAAAATGGTCCATATAGCGAAAGCTGAAAATCTGTAAATTCACATGAAAATATCTCAGCCAATATGCGTACGTTGGTTATCTCTTTGATGAAAAAATGTCTGTGCTAATGGCGCGACTCTCATCCGTCCAAGAGAGAAAAGTATCGTTTATGTGAAACGTTTAGTAATCGGCATTCCTTTTGAAAATATTTCCAGAAAGAATGTCAAAGGAGGAATTGCCTTTTGAGGGAAGCTGTAGATGCTCCAGAGTTACCCTCGACACATTGAATAGACCTGTAATTGCGCTTCCATCCTCGGGCGAGAATTGAAGAGAAAAAAATGTAAAAGTGAAAACAAGTAAACAATTTTACCATCCTCAATCTCAAAATGGTTTCTTCACGCGTTATCGTCCCTATTGGAAACGCTGGGATATCCGTTTACATCAATCAGATTGAGAAATTCGACGATGTATTAATTATAAGTCACGCACGCACAATTGGCGCGTATAGTCGCGTACAGGCAAACGGACTGTGGCCTAATGTTCATCTACATTTTCTGCTTAATACGGGTCCAGGCTGTGGCATGAATGAGAGAAAGAAGAGAAATGAGAGAAAGGCGAGGACTGCGACTGGCAGAGGGGTGGAGGTACACGATTTCCTCCCCCTCCCTCTCTCCCCCACCTAACGCTCAAGAACCACCAATCCCGAATACTCCTGACCCCTGTAACCCCAGCGTCCCTCAATCACCCACCGGTCATCACCCATTTCTCTCAGAGCGATTCTCTTCCGATTCTTCTCGCTCTCTCGCGCCGTGTATCTCGGGGCGGGTGTTTTTCCCTGTTCACAAAATGGCCGCCACCCCCACCCCAAACTCATTCGACTGGGCTTCAATTTTCTCTCCCGCTCTCTTTATACCCCATTCGTTCGTTCGTTCGTTAGTTGGTTGGTCACCCTGGTACCTTGTTCCCTCTCCTTCTTCTCTCTTTGTCAGACTCGTTCCCTCGGGCTGTCTTTCTCTCACTTGAGTCGCCGCTAGTCAGCCACCCCTATCGCCCGGCGCCACCACCGCTCGCGGAACCACCACCAGCCCCAGCAGTTTTACCACCCCTGAACCCACGTACACGTTAGCCATGTAGTTCCCTAGATATCTATCTATCTACCTATCTAGCTGGCTGGCTACGTATCCTACCTAACCCCTGGCTGCTACCGCTACCCCCTACGTGATGGTCTTTCTCTGTATAAGCAACCCAGAAGCCGGCCGGCCGGCTTCTCTCTACACAGTGTTCCAACGAGGTCGGAATATTGTTACAGAGAACGCGGATGAAATTTATAACTAATTACGGGAAAAGTTTAGATGACCGTCGGCCGGCTTGGCTAGATTCGCTTACCGCCCGGATATGGGAATGGAGGTGCAGACATATAGTATTGGGGGTAGGTTTTTCCGGTACC